CTGAGGCCGAGTCCCACATACAGCAACTAGAAGGATGTGCAGCTATGACATACAACTATCTACTGGGGCTTTGGGGGGAAATAAATAAAATCTTTAAAAAAAAAAAAAAAGAGTATTGAACTATGAGTAGTAGAGAGAACACTAGACTGGAAGGCGCAGCCCTAACTGCTTGTTCCTGGTCCTGTTGTGAATCAGCAGAACGACCCTGGGCCAGTCACTGAACCTCTCCAGATCAGCTTTCTCATCCACGAACTGAGAGGGCTGAACTGGAAAAATTTCTGTGGTAACTTGCAGTTCTAAAAATACTGTGATTCTAAATTAAGATGTAGAGAGAGGCTGTGGCACCACAAATAATGGAATCTAAGTGCCGAATTTCTTTGCACCTCGTCTGTAGTACTAGACTCCAAGTTGGAATCATTTTGAAGACCACTCTGAGAATTCTGTAGAATTCTCATCCTACTCCCCATGTTCTTAGAATGGAAATTCAGCTTAGAATTCAAGTTTTAGGTAAGCTGAAAGGACCATCTATTCCAACTCTTTTGTAGTTTAAGAAACTGAGCTCCAGAGAGATTGTGATCAAATCACAAAACTAGTCAGAGGCAGAGACCAGGTTTTCTGATTCCTGGTCTAGAGTTTTTAATACCACAACGTGCTTCATACAGAACAGGATCAATCTTTTCTCACTGCCACCAGGACCTCATTTTTACTGTCACCAAAATGGTCCTTGAGGGCTATTATTCACTGTCCAAAACCGTTGTGTCAGTCAACCCAATCTGATTTTGGGAAAAGTAACTGGGGGCCGGGAGAGGGGACTAAGGAGCTCATCTCCCCTTAACCTTCCTTCTTTAGGTCTGAGAAAGGGAAATGGCCATTTCGTTTTGTCTTTCTTTTTCAGTTCTGTAGCTTCCCTTTCCCCTGGTAATTATATAGCCCGAGATTATTTGTTTATAGAAGCCGTGTGAATCAGCCAGCCCCCAAATGGTTAACGCTCCCAAATTATGGGGCTGGGTTAACAATAAACAGGATGTCCTCCAGAAATTAAATTTAAACCACTGTGACTCAGGCTGGCCCATCTCAACCAGATTGTTGTCTGGGGTTATTATCGGTGGTTAATTATACCATTGGGTTTAGCAACAGTGTTGGTCAGTTTGAGGCAAGAGAAACCAGGCTCAGGGAGAAGGTGGTGTGGAGGGAAGGGCCTGGTGGAGGGGGTGGTGCAGCAGTGGAAGCGGGAGGTTTGAATGGAAGAGACTCTCAGGGTCCTGAGCACGGAAAGGAGAGTAGTGAGAGTGGGGTCTAATCTGTACCCTCAGGGCTCCTGCTGTAGCCTCTTCCCTGAGTTGATCCCAGGGGTGCTTAACTCACTCCTGGGGGCAGAGGGGAGCCTGCGTTTCTGTCACTGTTGGGATGCGCTGTGTTTGCCTTCTAGCCTGGCCGCACTTCTTTTCTTTTCAGAATTGTAGAATCATAGAATTTTCAGCGCCTTAAGGAAGCTTCTGAATTACCTAGTTTAACCCTCTCACGTCACAGAGGAGGAAATTAAGTCTCAGGGCCATCATTACCTGCCAAAGGGCAACCTGCTCATCGGAGGTGGAGGCGGGGTTAATGCTCAGGTCTAGACTCCTAGACCGTGACCTTCCTTCCTTCATCACGCCAAGCTGTCTTCCACCTCCAAGTGGGGAACCTGAGGTGCAGAGCTTCCTAGCACGTTCAAGGCAGACTTGGGCTGGATTTCAGATTCCTCTCTGAGTTAGCTGCGTTTAGATTTTGTCAGTTCTCCTGGGACATAACCCAGCCTGGCTGGTCCTTAATGCCCCTACAATTTGTCATCTCTCCCTAGCCATACAAGAAGCCCTTCAGATCCAGTTTGTCCCTCCATAGAGCAGTAGTAAAGCACCTGATACGGTTGATCAGAGGTTTTTATGGTGTTTTTTAAAGGCATGTTTTCAAAGGTGATAGCTATCAAGTGAGCCTGTAATTTCTGACTTTGCAGCTCCTCAAGACACAAGAATTATAGTGACTGTTATTCATACAGTGTCTCCCCTCACCTGCCTTCACCTTTGCAATGTATTTAAATGACAGACTACTAGTAAAAAAGATGCCCTTGGGCAGAAGGTGGTGCCCAAGACCTCCATCTGACACTGTCCACAAGAGGATGCCTCTCCTAGAGCTGCTGATGGTCCTAGACCCACAGGGCACACGATACTGTACTGGCCAGCAAGCCACTGCTACTCTTCTTTATCCTCCTGGGGGAAAATGGCCTCTACGTCATCAGTTGTTTTCAGCCACATCCTTCTCCATTTCTCCTAACATCCTTCATTGTCTCTTTCTCTTGTAGGATTCCTTTCAAGATTGGGCAGCCCAAGAAGCAGATAGTCCCCAAAACAGTGAGTAACCTGATTCTGAGACTCAGTTCTGTCTCACATGGCCTTCACATTGAACCAGAACTTTGACTCAACACATCATGGGGCTGGGAAGGCAGAACCTGGGCCTTATTATTCCCAGTCATGTGGCACTGGAACCTCACATAGACTGGGGCTTGCAGGGGCCTCTGGTCCTGGGACATTTTCCTCCCTCAGATCAGCCTGGGCACCTCCACCTCCTAGGGCAGGTGGAAAAGATGGATTACAAAGGTGAGGAGGAATACAGTCATGCGTCACTTAACGACAGGGATATATTCTGAGAAACGTGTCGTCAGGTGATTTCATTGTATGAACATCATAGAGTGTACTTACACAAACCTAGGTGGTACAGCCTACTACACACCTAGGCTCTATGGTACTAATCTCACAGGACCACCGTCATACATGTGGTCTGTCGTTGACTGAAACGTCGTCGTGTGGCATGTGACTGCACACTGCTTCTGAACAGCCCATCTCTGGGATCTGGCGTGGCTGTGTGCACTTTCCTAAGAGGGCTCCTGAAACATAGACCCTTGCAAGGGCGTGTCCCAGGCCTTGATCTCTGGCGACTTCAGGCTGCGTGAAAGACCAGGCCCCTTTCTCTCCACTGCTAAATGCATTCTTAGCGAGGACAGAGTCACTCAGTGGGAGAGGGTGATTGAATCCTGTCCCCCTTTGTGAGCCCACAGTTCATATCCCTATTGTATCTCCAGAATGGGAGGGGAAGAGAATCATAGACTCTTAGAAAGCTAGACCTGGAAGTCGTTGGAGATCATCTGGTCCAACCTCCTGATTGTTCCTGATGAGGAAACCAAGGCCCATGGAGTCACAGTGACTTTCCAAGGTTATGAAAACCAAATGCAGACAGAGCTGGAATTAGAACTTGAGCCTGAGCCTCTGTTCAGTATTCTTTCCATTGCCTTATGCTGCCTCACTCAGGCAGTGGAGATCTCCCGAGGTTTTGGAATTCTAGTAAGGAATGGCCTCTTCAACCCCCTCACCACAAATGTGAGCAAGGTTCTTGGTTTTAACATGGGACACCATAACGCCCCTCTCATTGTGACAGCTCCCGGAAGCCCAGCACCGTCAGCCTGCTGGAGGCCCTTGACTGTCATCCCAGCCCCTGGCGGTTCTTGTCTTAATAACCTCAGCCCTCCTTGGCTCAGGACTCAGAACTACAGGAAAGATATTGCTTCAGTTTGGCAGGAAGGGAAGTTCAGCACACATCTGACCAATGGCTTTATCATTGGGAAATCCAAAATTAGGTTACTTAAAAGGAAATGGGTCTACGTTAAAAGAGCCCTCCTCTTTTCAAGCAGAGGCAGGCCATGGCCAGACTCGAAGTTTACCTCCCATGCAGAGGCTGACCATCTGTGGAGGCTCTCAGCTGAAGCGCAAAGAATCTGGGCGTGCAAGTGTTGGGCTCTAACCAGCTACAGGAAGTGGGAAGGTGTGGCTTTGAGTCTCCAGAGTTTAATCCAGGGCAGATCTGAAAGGGAAGTGGTTTTGAGAAGGGACTTTTATTCCCAATACTCACTACCAAAAAACAAAAAGAAAACAAACAAAAAACCGTCCTAAAGCCCCAACCTTTATTTGAGATGGCCTTTGTGCTCCATGGAAAAGTATAAGCTAGAACGCAGTTTCCAGCTTCTTTGCCAGAGTTTGTTGCCAGAATGATCTCTGGGTCTTTTCATCTGAGGAGTAGCAAGGACTCCCCAGAGGAGGGGCAGATGCACAGTCTGGGAAAACCGTCAGCACCTGCGGATGGCCCCCTGCAGGCCCATGGCCTCCCTCTTCCCTTCCTGGCATCAGTCGCATTTGGGATGGAATTGTAGTCCTCTACCTTCTGGCATCAGGTCCCTCAGACAGACTGGGCATCAGATAATGGTTAAGAAGCCGGATTTGGAAGGTTCCCTGCCTGGATTCCCATCCTGGCTCAGCCACAAGCCAATGTGACCTTAGGCAAGTTCCTAACTCTCTTTGAGCCTCCTTCTCCTTTGTAAAGTGGGGTGATCCTAGTACCTGTGTCATTGGCGTATCATGTGTCTTGCATGAGCTGGTGCGTTTGAAGCACTTAGCACAGTGTCTGGCATGTAGTAAGCCCTCCGTAAGTATAAACTACGTTACAGGAAGACGGTTGATTTGCCTCTCTTTATAAACCGCCAGGGACTCAACCTGTCTCCAGCAGCTAGATTCCCCATTGCAATGAAATGGTAGGCTGGGCCTTTGATCTCTCACAGGGAATCAAAGCCGAGTTACAGCTTGGAATAGAGTTATTTGCTTCCTCAACTCCCCAGAGGCACTCAAGTACATGTAGCAAGATCCTGCCTCTTCAGAGTCTGGTTCTCCACGCCACAAGCCCCCTGCTGGCCCCCAAAACAGGCCAGGGCTGTGCGGTTGTCTCAGCATCTCAGGCAGCTGCCCCCAGTGGTGACACACTCTCTTATTCTTGCCCAGGCACTCAAGGAGAGGAGCAGATGTGGCTGCCTGGGTTATTGGAAGTCGTGGCACCCCTGTCATGGGAAGAAATGCTCATGTTATCTTCAGGGAGTTTTAGAAGGTTTTTGACTCAAGGCACCCAACTGTCAGACACAAAGAAAGCATTGTGTGTTTGCCCTCACTGTTCTCCTGTGCCTAGGTTATTAATGCACATTCCGTTATTGTCGAGGCTTTCGCTGGAATGGCATGTTTTTTGCAGGGGCTGACCCCTGGGGCTGAAATGGAAGAACAGAAATCCCCACCTCCCAATCCTGGCCTTCTGCGTAGTCACCTCCCACTCCCCCAGTTTATAAAGTAGCTGGAGCACCTTGGTGTGGTGAGAAAAAGCTCCACCTCCATCCGTAACCTGGGAGGATGGAAGAGCTCTTTGAAGCAAGGATGACCCTGAGTCTCACACACAAAGGAAAGCACACACTTAGATTCATAGCTAGGTAGGCACTCTATGAAGTCAAGGCAGAAGAGAGTCCCGCCACGTTGAGCCTTCACTTGAGAAAGATTTTCACGTGCAGAATGGAGGGACCCGCAGCTCATTCCTTAATCTTGTTGTAGCATACCAAAGGGAAGCTGCTTCCCCCCCGCCCCCCACCCCGAGCATCCCTTGAAGAGGGACTTCTCAGAGCCCTGAGCGCTCCCTCTGCCTCAGCTCTGATCTGACACAGCTTAGAGCCCTGGCTCTGCCTGCTGGTCTCCTTTCTCACTTCAACATGAGTGTGGGAACTGAGCCCATTCCTTCATTTAACAACTACTGAGCTCCCGCTCTGTGCCAGCCTGACCCAGGCACTGAGGCTGGAGCCGTGAGCAGCACAGTCCCTCACTTCCACCCTAGCCTTCAAGAATGCAGGGAGCAGCCAAGGCAATGGTCTGGTGCTTGATTCTCCCTGCGCTAACCTCGCCAGGCTGCCCCAGCCTGCCCTGCCCCTCCAACAGTCGAGCACATGTGTTTACACTTGCATTGTTGACTGGGGTCCAGTTGCCTTTTGGCAACGGCATCAGGCATTCAAAGATGTTCAGATCTTTTGTGTTTGGCTCTTCCCCTCAGAATGGATATCCCTTGGAATGAGACTCCAGTGTGTCCCTTTATTCCTTATGCATTATCTGAGGAGCTAGGATCCTCGTGGTGTCCCCTTGAATCTCTCCCTAGTAGAGGAGAGAGGTCTCAGAACCAGTGAGCTATGGAAGCAGCCACAACTCAGCTATAGAGGCTCCCGGAAGCAGGGAAACTTCTCTTCAGCTGTCGGACGGCCTCGAGCAGTGTGAAGGGGACGATTGAGCTCCCACTCCCGACATACTTCTCAGCTTCCCGTGTGAGACCTCGAGTTTCTCATCAACTGGAATGATCCATCCCAGTTGGAAACCTGCAGTCCCCCTCTGTGCAAGTCCAAGCAGTCCCCCGCCAGGGAGCCCAGGTGTTCTCTGACATCCCCCGCACATCGGCACACTTGGGGATTGCAAAAGAGAGTGCCGGAAGCCAAGGCTGCAGCTCCAGGGGCTGGGCAGGCGCTCGGCCTCCTGTCCCAGAGCACCGACTCTGGGTTCTTGATCTTCAGGAGAGCTGGATTCTGGCCAAGACAACCTTAATTTTAATTTCATCTCTTTGGAAAAAATACTTTTAATATGTAAAGACTCTGCTCAGCTGTCACATCTTACGAAGTAAGAAAGGAGATATGTCCAGTGAAAGGAGGCCCCGATATAGTCCAGGCACAGGAATTCAGGCTTAGCCAAAATCAGGGTTTTCCTAGCTGTCAGTTAACCATGTGCTTTGTACTGCTTGTCCTCTCTGCCAAAGGGTGACAAGCCAGTCTGCACCCCCAGACTGCTCTGGTCCTCTCCCCACCCCAGTGCATAGGAAGGAACAAGGAGACACCGTCCATTCGTGGGCCAGGCACTTTGCTCTGTGCTCTACATAAACTGCTTGTTGAGCCTCCAAACAAGCCGATGCAGCTGAGGCTGTCCCTGCATTTCCTTGTTAGCCACCTGAAATTTACATGGGATAAGTCTAAATGAAATTAACCCGTTTTACTAGAAAAGAAACTGAGATTCAGAATCTTAGGTCATATTTGTAATGCTCCACAGCTAGTGTGAGAGTTCATATCTTATCTGTCTTTGCTCATTCCTCTCTACCACCTTCTCCCACAGCACTGTTGGAGAAAGGACTAGACTAACCTCAGTGCGGACTTGGAAGGGCCCAGGCGAGGCCCCTTTGCTCCAGAACAAATCTCCCGGCTGCAATTGCACCAGAGGCTTTTCAGGCCTGTAGCTAAGACTTTGATTCCTGTCCAACTACAAATCCCCTGAGTTAGGTAACACTTTCAACTTTCACCAGGCATATGTGCTTTAGTGGGAGTGAATTTTGAATTTTGAGTTGCTCTTAGGAAAGAGCAGCTTTTGATGGATCATAAGGAAGGCGACGATGAAAATTTTGGGTTCCTGGATGGAGAAAGAGTGGATCTGTTAAAAAGAGGGAAAAAGATTGTAGGATAGGAGGCTGGGGCAATGGTGAATTTTACTTCACAATTTTCTGTAAGGTTCTAGATGCTAGGATCATAAAGTAAAGAAATGACTGTGTGTTCCTGCTTCTAAACTTTACAGTTCAAATGAGGAAGGTGAGATATCTCCACGCAAGGGAGACATGTTGTTGTGCCCTGAGGACCTTAGCTGAGTAGCTCCCTGCCCAGCCCTCTGTCAGTCTTCCCCAGTGTGCAGTTGTCTGCGTATTTGTTTTATCTCCCCCACCAGAGCCCATGCTGTTATATTCACTAGTGTGTATTCACTAGCACCTGGCAGAAGCATTGCACTCAGTAGGTGCTCAATAAATGTGGCATGAATGAGTGTAGTTTTTAAAAAAAAAAAAAGACCTGAGCTAGGAGTTGAATTCTAGCCTTGCTTTGCCACTAACAAGCCCTGTGTCCTTATGTCTATCACTTTCCCTCTCTGGACTTCATCCTCATTTTTAATGTGACATAATTGGCCTGAATAATGTTCTGACATTCCGTGACTGTTGAATTTACCTGAACCCAAGCATGGAGTGTGAGGTCGATGGGCTTGTAGAATGCTCTTTCACTGGGGGCTTGTTGACGGAAGGGCGTGCAGGTGAAGAACAGGAGGGCTTTGACGGTCGCTGCAGATTTGCACTCCCTGACCTTCACCCTGTGACAAGCGTGAGAGTCAGGAGCTCTGGGTCTCACCGGCAGGGTTCTCGGAGTAACAGCCAAGCAAGGCAGCTTTTTCGGTCATGGCTTTAGTTCATCAGCAAACCCCTTGTTTTCCCTTTTGGTAGAATGATGGTTAAGAGCACAGACTTTGGAGCCAGGCTGCCTATGTTCAGATGCCAGCTCTGCCACTCACTAGTGGTGTCACCTTGCACAGCTTACTTCACCTCTGTCCCAGTGACCTCCTCACTGCCGTGAGAGCCACAAGCACACCTGTCTCCTAGAGGTGTGGAGGAGACATCATGCATGGACGCACACAGTGAGCACCCACGGCTGATAGCTGGGTCACTTCACGGAGCACCTCAGCCCAGAGGCTCAGCAAGCCAGACAGGGAGCCGGTGCTGCCCCTGCAGAAGAGAACGAAGGAGAGGCCTTGAGCTCGGTCCCCTCCTTTGGGCTCCCAGACGTCATGCACTTGACAGGCCGCTGCCCTGAGAGACCATTGCTGAGGCCCCGTTTTACAGATGGGGAGACTCAGGCCCTAGGACTGCAAGGGACTTTCTTGACTTCACTTGACCTCTAGGCAGCAGAATTGGGTTCAGGATTCACACCCACCCAGTTTAAATATTGGCATTGGGGAAGCCTAATAACCAATCAAGAATTTAGAGAGCCTTGCCTGAATCCATGGTAATAGTATTTGTGTTTGGTACATCCCAGAGCACAGAGCATGGACATATCATCTTTCTTGATCCACCCTGAACTTAGCAGGTGGTAGGACCTGTGATGAAACCAGGGCTGTGACGGGGAGGTGACCTGCTCCGGCTCAGAGCTGCTAAGTGGCCGAGACAGTGCCAACTCCAGACCCGCCCACTTTCTTCTGCGCCCTGCTGCCTCCCTGGATGGGTTTCAGTCACATTCTGAGCACCTTACCTGCCACACAAGGGGAGGGTGAGAAGAGGGAACACAGCTTAGCGCCTCGCTCCCTGTGGCAGAATAACAGAGCCACAATCCGCTGGTGCTTGCCTGGCTGGCCCATCTGGGAGGAGAGTCTTTCGCCCTAAATCAAACACTTAATTAATTTGGGAACACAGGGATATCGTATCATTAAGGATCTGCTGGTGCTTGTGTGAACTGGACGCTGCTGTTTTCTGCAGACTGGGGGAGGGCGTGGAGGGAGTTTCAGGAGGCTGACAGATTTTTCCAATGTGTTGTCATTTCTCTGATGATTGAGTTCTCTCTTTTGTTACAGGTGGAGAGAGACTTTGAAAGGGAGTATGGAAAACTCCAGCAGTGAGTGTCAAACCCCAGAAGGACGGGGTGGGGGGTCAGAGAAGGGCAGGAGCCTTCTGCCAGGTCTCACTTCCCAAACTGCCTCATCTGCTCACCTCCCGTGAGTGGGCTGCTCATCTGCCCTGTTAGCACCCTGGGAGCCAAGGCCAGCTCAGTTCACCACCTGCCAGAAATTCTCCCACAACCAATGGCTGCGTGACAGTCGTGAACTCATAGCCTTTGGGTGCTTGGCTTCATGCAGAGCTTGTAGGAGCCCTTCAGTCAGTGGGAAAATCCCCATAGAGAAGGAAGGGGGCCTTCTCCTCCTGGCAGGCATTCCAGAGTATCAGGTTGGGCTTGACTCAGGTAGACAAGAAGAAAGGGGCCAAAAGCAAGTTAGCGATGCCATGTATCCAGGCCCATGCCCCTGCCTTGCAGGCTGGAGGAGCAGACCAAGAGGCTGCAGAAGGACATGAAGAAGAGCACCGATGCTGACCTGGGTAGGTGGCACGTCCCCCACCCCCTGACTGACCTGGACTGGGCGGGGTAGAAAGGGATGCACTCCTCCCTCAGTCACTTTAGAGCTGGCTTTGAAGTAAGTGCACCTCACAGATGCCTGACACATGTCCCTGAGAAGTGGCTTGAGGTCATGCTTCACTTAGCAGATCACCACGCACCACTTTTCCCCACCGCAGCCAGGGGCCGGCCGGCCTGCCTGCCTGCCTGCCTGCCTGCGCAGAGTGCTGGCTCCCAAGGCCTGTGCTGCAGATCTTCGTGCCACTGGTGGTCCAGAGGACGTGGGCGGCTCTGAACATGACTGCCCCTCACTCCTGGCCCCTAGCATCTGCAGACTGTGTGTAGCAAGCCAAGGGTCTGATTTTGGAGTCCGTCTGTCACTTGTTTTGCTGTTGGTTCTGCATTACCTGGGCTACATCTTTGTCATTTCCCACTGCCTTTCCAGTGAGGGAGATGCTATGACCTATTGCTTCCTTTCTTTCCTACTTCTCCAGACAACTGCACCAGCAGAGCATAAATGAAGGGAAGGTAGTTGTTTTCATAGTGAGCAACTTTGGAAGCAAGTAGAACGTCAAGGATCCATGAAGTGGAGTCTGGCTATAGAGAGAGTAGTGTTCCAACAAAGAAATCAGGATAAACTGGGGACCCCTGGAGCCTAGGAGTACTGGCCTCCTCTGCCCCAAGTCAGAAGTGGAGTCTGGGCAGAGAAAGCCCTCCTGAAACAGTGGCGCCTCAGCCCATGACAAGGCCTGAGCCCCACAGTCCATGCAGAGAGCCCCACACGGTGGTGTGTCTGAGTCACTGGAGGGCTCGCTACAACACAGATTCCCTGGTCCCCCCAGGCCTCTGATTCATCAGGTCTGGGCAAGGCCTGAAAGTCTGTGTTTCTAATCAGTTCGAAGGCAATGCTGATGCAGCTGGTCCGGGGACCACACTTTGAGAACCACTGCTCCAAACAATTGAGAGGAATCAAAGTATACCTTTCCTGATCTTGGAATTTCCTAAGGTGCCTGGACTATATCTAAAATCCCAAGCTGTGTCCAAAACAAGATCGTCTAGGTGCAACATTTGGAGGTTGTATCGTGGCTCCAGAGACACACGTGGAGTCCAAGATCCTTGCTCTCTCTAAGGTTCAGAGACCGCCAGCCTCCCAGTTTGTGCTGGGCTGACCAGGCCCCTCCCCTGTCCCTGCAGAGGCAGAATGAGGGATGTGAGCTGGTCCAGAGGAGAGTGGAGGCCACAGTGTCCTGCTGTGCTCACAGGGCTGTAATGTCTCGGGTGGGGATTCCAGGCCCAGTGCTACACCAGTGGCTAATTGCCTGATGGGACACATGCTGTTAACTGACTTTAGAAGATTAGGGCAAAGAAAGAGACAAAGACATGAAGATGTGAAGGCTTTAGGAAAGAAAAGGAAAATGGGGAAGAAAGTCTTCCCCGCAACCCCCTGACTTTTCAGGGGTTTTTCCTCAAATGTTAAAAAAAATTTAAATATTAAAAAATATATTTTTTTAAAATATTAAAATATTGAATATTAAATAATTAAATATTAAAAATAAAATTTATATTTTATATTAATTTTAAATATTAAAAAAAATAAAAAGCATTTCCAGTTTTGTCCAGGTTTTTATTCTTTCAAGTATGCTGTCTGTGATGACCGTTTCATCATGCGGTCAAGCTACACATGATGTTTGCTCCTAAGTAGGCTTCCAGAGTCACTTCCCAGATTTTAAAGGGGGGTTTTCCTCCATTGCTTCAGCATTTCTGGGAAGTTTACATTTCCAGGCTTCTACCATATTTTGCCCTTTTGCTGGGTGCCTTTTGCTCCCAAATTCAAGAGAAACCCCAGGACGGTGCTCTGGGCAGCCAGTCATCCACTTTTTTGCTGGCACGCAGAGGGGCCTGGCTGAGGAGGGACCCTCTGGTTTCTGTTTCCCCCACTCAAAATGTAGAGGCCAGCCCCTCCTGGAGGGCTGGGGTTGGGACCACTCACTCCTCGCATGGAGTGTGAGGCAAGGCCACATCTGCACTGAACTGGGAGGCGGACCTTATCTATTTGATTCTAAGACCTTTTTTCACATTTAACCTCTCTAAAGTCAGGGTGCCATAACACTTGATAGTGTGTTCTGCTTTAATTGGCAGCATTTTTTTTTCTTAGTGGTTTATACAATAACGGTGTGTCTTACAATTGATAGCATCTTAAATTCAATGACATAAAATAGTAAGAAATACATTCAAAACCTTGTTTTCCCCTGAGACTCTGAAACTGATACAGACACTGTGGAATAAGCATGGCCCTTCTCCATCCTGTCTTCTCACTCCTCTAGAATTTTGTTTGCAAATAATGGAGACTTGAAAATTTGTACGAGACCAAGAACTCCAAAGCTGCTCATAGGTCTCCATCCTGCCTCTGAGCTGCCCTCTGACTTCCAGGCTCCCCATCTGTCTAACAGGCATCTAAACACACACATGAGGCTGCAGTTGGGCAGCGGTCTCCATCCATGGAGAAATGGTTCAGAGAGGACCTTTAACAATGTAAGCAGACACCTCATCAGAGCCTCGAAGAGCCTGCCCGCTGCTTTCTCCAGGCCGGATCACCAGGAGATCAGTGGCCAAGGAGGCGGGTGCCCAGGGTCTAGTCCTAGCTCAGCACCTGCAGCTGTCTGATGTTGGAGGAGTTACAAACTCTTCTGAGCCTCACTTGCCTCATCCATAAAATGGAACCAAAATACCTCTACCCTAGATGTCTCCTGGGTTGTTTGAGCCCTAAGTAAGACAGTGGGTGCCTGCAAACTCTGGCAGAGGCAGGCTGGAGACCTGACTACTGTATGTCATGGAAACCAGGGTTGCCTAGCTACACCAAATCTGGCCTATTTTTGTCAATAAAGTTTTGTTGGTACACAGCCACACCCATTCTTTAGGTATCCTCTGTGGCGGAGTTGAGTAGTTGTAACAGATACCATGCGGCCCGCAAAGCCTCACATGTGACTCTGGCCCGTTTGATAAGTCGGCCAGCCCTGGTGGAGAGCACTGTGTTACTCTTGTCCCAAACCAAGCTTCACGTCCCAACCGCCTGGAGAGTTTTTTAAAAATGCGTATTCCTGGATTTCAGACTTACTGAATTAGAATCTTTGGAGCTAGAAGTCTATATTTCTTACAGCTTCCCACACAGATGATTCTGCTCTAACCCAGAGTTTGGAAAATTAAGTCATTGCAACAGGTATAAACCACTCAAAAGAATTACCCAGAACAGCGTCAGATGATCAGGCATGAATATTATACAATGAGGACTAATGTCTTATGGTTCTCTGGTACTTTGTAGTTTTTATGGCCTGTGGCCGTTGGGTGGAGGTCATCCAGGTGCAGGTCCCTGGACCAAAGGAGGACAGGGAGTCCTGAGGACAAGACCTTGAAGCCAGGCCCTTCACAGGTTCACTGAGCTTTGACTTCTTACAGCCATGTCCAAATCTGCTGTGAAGATATCCTTGGACTTGCTCTCCAATCCCCTCTGTGAGCAAGACCAGGACTTTCTGAACATGGTCACAGCCCTCGACACAGCCATGAAGCGGATGGACGCCTTCAACCAGGAAAAGGTGACTGGGGTCTTGGTTCCCCGCTTCTCGCGGCTTCTGTCTGGGTGGAGCACCCGCATGGAGTCCTTACAGACCCTGACTCCCTTTGGGCACCCTCAGCTCTCTGAGGCCTATGTGTCCCAAGCCCTGTGAGCTCTCTCCTGGCCGACCTGCTTCAGCATTGGGTGCTTCCTGTGGCTCCTGTGGGCTCACGTCTCTCACTGTGAGGCCACGAGGGAGACTTGGGTCAGTCAGCTCTGCCCACCCGTGGCCCCTCCAACTATCTGTAGTTGCCCAGCCAGCATCTTCACTGAGCAAGGTGATTATTGGCCTTGGCAGACTGTGGCTAGCAGAACGAGAACTGACCAGGGACAAGGACAGTGCTCCTTGTCACCTTTCAGGCTTCCTGGTCGTTCTCTCTGCCTCACTCTAGCTGCAGAGTTAGGGGTTCCCCACCTCACCTGCCTGCTGTGGTCTCCTCCCTACCTGGGGCTCTTGGGATACCCCTGACAGGTCTCCTTTCTCTTCTCAGGAACTGAGGGCCTCCCCTTTTACGAAGAGTCTGACGTCCCCCCAGTTTTGATGTCATCGGTTTTTCTTTTGACAGGTGAACCAGATTCAAAAGACCGTGATTGAACCCTTAAAAAAGTGAGTAAAGCTCGTCTGGGGACCACAGGCCTCGGGGAACTAGACTCAGGGCACTTATCGGAAAGACAGGTCAACTGGCCACTTGGGGACTGAATATTATTGCTAGCAGCCTGTCCCCAGCCTCGCATGTGCTGACAGGAAACTCAGTGGGGACGCTGGCTACGTGATCTCCGGTAGCTGCAGAGCCCGGCCGTGTCCAGACACCCTCTGAGGGCAGGGCACTCCCAACCCTCCACGGCAGCTGGCAGGTGCTCCAATGGGCATTTTGCCGTTTTTCCCTTTGTTCCTGATTGAAAACCAGCGGGACCAGAGCTTGCTGAATTAAGCTAGCAGAGATCTTGGCCAGGCCTCAGCGGAGATGAGCGAGGCCTTTCATCTCTCTCAGCCGGATTGGAAGAGCAGCTGCCTGCAGCACTCAGCTTTTGAAATGTGGGGGTGGCCACACATGGGGAAGGGCGCAGCAGCAGGGTCCCGCCTGGGAAGGTCCCCTAACTCATGACCTGTCAGGGTCAGAAATTCTTCTGTGAGACTCATCTTCTGTCGGACAGGCTCTAGTCAGTGATCAGACAGGCCTATTCCCTGGGTCCCCTCAGGGGTGGGCCAGGGGGACAGGCAGGAGCATTGCCTTGAAGCTCCCGAATCACTTCATCTGCTTCCCTCAGCCTCTCCCAAACAGGCTCTGACCTAGAAAGGCTCCCCGCTCCCGCCCGGCAGCTGCACTTTATTACCTCTTCTGTGGTGGTCCCTGGCAGTCGCCTCACCCGGCCCGGTAATGAGGCTCTGCTAATTAGCATTAGGCCTGGCCCGGGGCCCAGAGGGAGATGAAGAGAGCAGGTCTGAGTGTCGGGGTTGTTGAGCTCTTCATGCCTGTGTAGGCCCAAGGGGGGTGGGCGGCAGGGAGAGCTCTAAGCTGGGGCTGTCCGGAGGCTCAGCCGTGGTAGGGAGGCTGAGCCTGGCATGGGAAGGGATTTCTCCCTGCACCCAGTTCTTTCCTAGCCCCTGCTCAGCCCCAGGTCCAAGGGTCACATGAGGAGCTGGGTGCTGAGGGGGCCAGTGGCTCAGGAGGGAGACGTCAGAAAGAGCTCCATTGCTTGTGGCTTTCTGACCCAGTTCCAGGACCAAGGGTTAAGACCTGGGTGGGAAGGATTGATGGCAGAGCAGACCCTGCACACAGGGGTCCCAGGGGCTGCCACAGAGGCTGCCATGGACACCCACAGCTGGCTGGCAGAGCTGGGCAGGGGACACCAGCTCAGAGAACTGGGGGACTGACACCCGTCTCGATTTCACAACCAACGAGGCGGCCTTGAAATCTGATGCCTAGCTTCTGGAGCCACATAGAGAGAAATCCCGGTTGCTTCCCACCACCCTAGCAGCCCACCACCTGCCAGGAAGGAGGGTGAGTGGCAGAGGGGGCGGGCACCATCTCCGCAGCAGATCCGCTGACCTCTGCGTGAGCCCCCCAGGCCTACCTGGCTACCCAGGCCAGCTTCTCTGCACCCCGTTGCCGACATGTGATCTCCCCCAACCACATGAAACCGGCACCACCCGTTGCCTCCTCTTGCCAGGAGAGCAGCTCCCAGGGACCCCAGCACCGGAAACAGGAAACTGCAGCTTTCCTGTCCTCTGATGAGGAACATTGCCACATGGCCACCCCACCGCCCCCAGCCTCCCCCAGGGGCTTGGCCTCTAATCCCCCAGTCTCTGGGCCGCGTTCACATGGTCGGATGGGGATGCTTTCAATTTCCCTTTCCTGGTGGGTGGAAGATCCCGGCTGTGTGGGCACAGATTGAGGAATGGCAGGCATTCCCCACCAGGGCCGGCTGCTCCCAACCCACCTCCCAGCCGGCCTCTTTCTCCCTCCCCCTTTCCCTCCTCCCTTTCTCACTGTCTCTTCACCCCACGCTCATCCAGGGGAGGCAGTTTGCTGCTGAACCTTAGGACAGGCGAGTGCCTGGTGTGGGCCTAGCCCTGTCCTCCCTTCTTTAGGACAGACGTAATGCAGACTTTAGGAGCCTATGATCCGGTGCGGAAGCCATGATGGTATTCTCAAGAAAAGGCACCAGTAGAATAAGTGCCGAGGTGGTGCAGTTGGATGGATGTGCTGGATGGGCAGTCCCAGCCTGCTCCCACCCCACCCATGGCCTTGGCCAGGTCCCCGCTCCTCTGAGTCTATTTCCCCATCTATGGAAAGGAAGAGCCAGACTGAACTCTTGCAATGGCATAGTCAGTGCTCAGGAGCAGGGGAGGGAGATGTCGGGGGGCTGAAATGGTCAGGTGAGCTGCGTGTGGAGGTCGGAGCCTATCCTGGGACTCTGGCTCAGGGACTTCCGTGTTCCACTTCACTACTGTTTATCAGGGGAGAAGCAGGGAACTGAGCACAAGAGGGCTGGCTTTCCAGCCATGCTTCTTTGCGGCAGCCCAGTACAAGTGCGGACTTCACCCCGCAGGTGAGCTGGGCCCCTATCCTTGTCAGGTGAAGTCAGCAGGTACCTCCGTAGGGTCCTAGGGGCATGTCTGCGAGGGGCCCAGGCACTGGGGACCAGCCTACGCTTGTCCTCACCTCCCTGCTGACTTCCCTCCGCTGGCCTGCAGGTGGAGGAAAGCGCTACCGGCACTTTACGGGGGGGGGGGCGGGTTCTGCTGCCGGACGATCCCCTCTCCTCGCACAACACTGTGGTATTTATACCGCCAGACATGTGGAGCTGGCAAAGTCTGTTCTGTTGCTTCTAAGTAGAAAACGGGGAGGTGGGGCCTCAGAGGGGGAGGACCCTGGAGTCAAGGATCATAGGGTGCTTGTCCCCCACTCTTGTCAGCCACCTCAGAATACACTGTGGGATCTCCCTGCCCGATGTTAGTTACCCCACTTTAATGTGAGAAGAGCGTGACTCCTGCCCCTGCCCCTAGGGAGTCCCGAAGCCACCCAGGTGGTAAGTGATCTGTGTTCCATCTAGAGTGAACTAAGCCAGCTGAGCCTTCCGTGGCCTCTTCGCTTGACTGTGAGGTGCTCCTGTGGGAGGCAGAAGTTATCATGGTTTTCCTGGAGGGTCTGATAAGCAACTGGGATCAGTTTTCACTGCAGCCACTTCCTCCCCACAGAGGACAGGTGGTCTTGTTTGCAGAAGGCTGAAGGTAGTGTCCTGTAGACACAAGCACTCTTAGACCACCCATCCCTGAGGCTTCCTGGCTCTGCATGGAGACTTGTTACCCCTGGATCCACGCCTTACTCACCCTTCTTGGCTCAGGCCTTGGCCCTGGGGTTGAATTTCTGTTTCCTTTGTAGGCTGATGCAGTCCCGGCATTTAGTCAGCCTTCCTGGTATATCTGAGCCTGGCCCTGGGGGAACTGAGGGAAGGGATTTATGAGGATGAGCCAAGGTACAAGTGTTGCCGGGGTCACAGGGCATCAGGAGCTCATGGCCGACCAGCGTGATGATAGTCCAGCTTTGTACCTGTGCGATGCGCTGCACACGCATTGCTGCATCCGTCGTGGTGCCCTTTCCTGAGGAGCGGAGCTCCAAGTGATGGGGTTGTGGCAAAGGCAAGAAAACCCTCCACTGCCGCCCCCTGTCTGTCTCTCACTCTCGTCCTGTCTCTGTGCTGGCACCCGGCCAAGTGGACAGCAGAGGCCCAGCCACTGGGGCCACCAAAGCAGCAGGTTGCTTCTAATGAGAGAATCAGGGTGGCTGCTAGAAGCCCTTTTCCAGTTGGGGTGGAGGGGGAGGTGGCATGGTGGCTTCTCAGGCCCAACTCTACCTGCTCCTTTGAGCCACATGATTCTCAGCTGCCGGTCACACTCCCCCCAGGAAGGGAGAAGGGTTCACCTAGCAACTGAGACCCTATCATAGAAACTGCCTAAGGCAAGAGCAGTGAGGCTGGCTCCTGCCGATGATCTCACCTGTTCAGACCTTCTCCAGGGGGACCATTTGTGGTCCCCACATCCAGTTTGCACATCACCAAGTAGGCCTACATCTTCCGCCTGGCAAATCAGTCATTCAAATACTGAGTTGATTACTACATAGGGGGCGTGTAAGAGGGTTCAGAGAACCTGAGGGTGGTCTTGCCCACTTCTTTAGCATTTCCAGTTAGGTAGTGAGCCCATTAGGGACACCCATTAAGTTAGAAGACTTTGCGTTAGTAGCCTTCCTCAGGGATAAGCCCTTTGTTTCATCAGAATCTACTGCCTGGGTCTGTAGCTGTGTTTGGGGCACTTAATGCTTTGGTCAAGTTTATATTCTCTATTTTCTGGCAAAAGTATTCATTACTCTTATGTCACATGTACTCTTAATTTGTTGAGACTTTTAAAAACCAAATTCATGGTCTTTTTTTTTTTTTTTTTTTTTGGTGAGGAAGATCAGCCCTGAGCTAACATCCATGCTAATCCTCCTCTTTTTGCTGAGGAAGACCGGCTCTGAGCTAACATCTATTGCCAATCCTCCTCCTTTTTTTTTTCCCCAAAGCCCAGTAGATAGTTGCATGTCATAGTTGCACATCCTTCTAGTTGCTGTATGTGGGACGCGGCCTCAGCATGGCCAGAGAAGCGGTGCATCGGTGCACGCCCAGGATCCAAACCTGGGCCGCCAGTAGCGGAGCGCGCGCACTTAACCGCTAAGCCACGGGGCCGGCCCCATGGTCATGTTTTTTTGAGAGGCAGCCTTGGAAAATCATTCTTCGTGTGGTATCTGCCTACCCGATGATGACCCGTGAGCTTAGAGACGCCCTCCTGGCTCTGAGCGCTCGTGAAAGGCTGAAATCAGCAACCAGTTGAGGTCCCAGTGAGGAGAGCCCCAACTTCATAACTCATTCCTGCTGACCCCCCTTCATCTTCTCTGGTTGCTTCAGGATGAACTGCCTCTTCTCCTGGTCCTGGGTTGCCCGCTCTGTGCTTCTCAATGCTGAGTAACCACTGTGCCGTCATTTCCCTTGGATGCATGGCCAGCTCTCCACCGACTGCTTGGGCTCTCAGCTTGCGTGGTAGACGCCTCTGCCACCAAACCCTCCAGCAGCGGGGATAGCACCTCCTGCCCCTTGGGAAGGGAGTTGCCCCGTCTTCTCCTGTCCAGTTCCGGAAAGCCTGCTTGCAGGTTTGCCTTGCCGGCTCCAGCACTCATCAATCAGGAGAAATGCAGCATCGCTGCCCGGGATGAGTCCTGCCCCGTGTCGAGCTAAGATGTCATTGCCCTTCCCAGTTAAAGGTGACACTGGTCACAAAGATTATGCCCACGGTGGCCAAAAATGGCAGAGCATCTGCTGCTGCTCTCTCTGAATGGCCCACTCCTCTGAACATCTCCTTGTGGTCCTTTTTAGTCCCGGTGGGGTAGGAAGAGATCCTTGAGTCGTTTTCCTTGAACATCTGGTTTGACAGTTTGGCCATTTCAATGGTAGAACCAAAAGAGTCCTGCTTTTCCTGTGGTCAGCTGGTAGAATGGGCCAGGAGTAGGTTTTGATTGCAGTTCTGTCACCTGCTGGGATGCTTGAGTTCTCTGCTGGACCGTCTCTACCGAATTGTGACCTTGGCCAAGTGATGTCATCTCTCTGACCTCAATTTCTTTAGTTTTTTTAAAGGAAGATGTTGGACAGATGACTTCCCTGGAGTCTGCAGCTCTGCCACAGGTCTCTGTAAAGTGTCATAGGCAATGGGTGGGTAAGGGGCAGTGGCAGTGTAAGTGGCATCCTGCATTCGTGACCCATCGTGTCTCCTTCCGGTCAGTGGAGTGACCCCTAGCCCTGTCTTCCCTCCCTTGGCTTACCCCAAGACAGCATTCTCAGTAGCATGAGCTCTGCGGCGGCCAGGGCCTCTCTGTCTCGTTCACAGTGAAATCCCCGAGACCTGGAACAGGGTCTGACACTTAGTAGGCACTCAATGTATTTTGTGTGTGTGTGTGTGTGGGAAAGATCTGAGCTAACATCCACGCCAATCTTCCTCTTTTTGCTGAGGAAGACTGGCCCTGGGCTAATATCCGTGCCCATCTTCCTCTACTTTATATGGGACGCCGCCACAGCATGGCCTGACAAGCCGTGCATTGGTGAGCGCCCAGGATCCGAACCCGGGCTGCCAGCAGCAGAGCATGTGCACTTAACCGCTACACCACAGGGCCAGCCCCTCAATGTGTATTTTTGGCTGAACGATGAGCTTCGAGCCTGCAACTCCAAGAACGGGCCCGTATCCAACCCAGCTGTGTCTGGCAGGTTTGGCAGTGTCTTCCCGAGCCTCAACATGGCAGTGAAACGACGGGAGCAGGCCTTGCAGGACTACAGGAGATTGCAGGCCAAGGTGGAGAAGTATGAGGAGAAGGAGAAGACAGGGCCAGTGCTGGCCAAACTCCACCAGGTACGAAGGAGAAGGGAGAGCTGGGGCGGGCAGCAGGCCACGTGGTCACACATGGCAAGTTCCTCCTTCACCTGGGGACCAACTCTGGGGCTGTGGAGCCAAGAGACCAAATGTCCTGATACCCCCACAGCAGGGACGCTGGATAAGCCAGTGACAGCTGTGACACCCAGGGTCTTGTTCCCCAGGCCCGAGAAGAGCTTCGGCCTGTGCGGGACGACTTTGAGGCCAAGAACAAGCAGCTCCTGGATGAGATGCCACGGTTCTACAACAGCCGACTGGACTACTTCCAGCCCAGCTTTGAGTCCCTGATCCGAGCACAGGTGAGGCCGCGCCCCACCCTGCCCCAAATGATGGCCCAGCACCTTTTCCCTTGGGAGAGAGCCATGGGCTTTGTAGACACGTCTCATGCTGCTCCCTGCTCCCCACACTGGAAGAGTGACTTAGCCATTCTCTGCAAGGACAGCGTCGCCCCCAAGGGACGGAATCCAGGGGGCCTCTGGAGACTCAGACTCTGGGTGTCTGCTGGAATTTGTTTGGGTTCCTATATTGCTCTTGGTTAATCCCAGCCCTAGGACGAGGTTCCTTTTTGCTTAACAGTTCTTACCTCAAGTTCTTTCTCCTCTCACATTTTACCACGAGTAGCAAGAAGAAACCAGGCCACCGCTTTAGCACCTCACTTTGATGGGTGGGTTCTTTGCCTGGTGTGCTCGGGAGGTCAGGAATAGAGGGCTATAGGGCAAAGGCCCTTTTCTGAGGACCCTGCACCCCCTACACCCTAGTTAGTCCTATTCTATTGACGGGGGACTTTTAGTGACCTTTGGAGGGGTCCCTGAACCCTGCAGAGAGCTGTGTTCAGGGCCCCTGTCTGGGTGCCGGGCTGTGGTGCCCCTTCCAGTGGAAAGGCAGGCTGAGTGCAGGCTGGGCATGGGTGGAGGTACCCTGTGTAGCACTGGGGCCATGCAACTGGAGGCTCGGACACAGGCCAAGCCCCTGTCTGTCCCGCTACTCCAGGCTGTAAGGACAAAGAGTGTGCAATTGGGTATAGCTCCTGCCCCCCTCGCCCCCCTCGCCCCCCATTCTTCAAGCCATTAGCAGGGATTATTCTCACCACTTGTAAAAGAGAAAACACTGAGGTGTCAAAGCCAAGAGGTCTGCATGTGGGACCCCAGCTGACTGCAGGTGCTTAGCATCCTGCCGCCTTTCCCAGCAAGTAACAAAGCTCAAGACTCGACCTGTGCGTCCACCTCCAGCCCACTCCTGCACTTGGCCTGGGTATCTGGCTCCCTCCAGTGGACACTGCCATTCTTTGCAGTGTCCACAGTTGCCGGCACCAGAGGAAAACTTCCCTCCCAGCGTGTCTGCCATCTTTGGCCCACACAAAACCCATGGGGCCGCACACTTGGGATCAGGAACCCTAAGCAGGATCGATGTTGGAGCTGGGACTTGTTACTGACCATGTCCTTGGTCATTAGGGGAAAATGAGGCAGAGAACTAATGTGCACAAGGGAGTGGGGGGGTTCCCACACTTGCCCATACAGCATTGCCCCTGGAGTGGGGGCTTCCTTCCAGCAGCTTCACCCTGGGCCCTGGAGGAATGTGTTTAAGGAGACCTGTGCCTTCCCTCTCCTGTGCCATCACCACCCCTGCTCCCAGCCCCCCAGCCTGCTGCATGCTGCCCTGCCCCCTCCATCCTGTTGCTCAGAGAAGAAAGTTCCAGGGTGCCCAGGCTTCGGGGTGCCCAGGTTGGAGCAGTTTAGGGGCTAGGGATGCCCTGTAACCAGGCAGCAGCGTGGCTGGAGGTTGTTTACTGCCTCCTCAGCACCAGCCTCCCCCTCCCGTGGCTGCCACTGCCATTAGTCACTGGAGAAGTGAGCATTCCTAGTGACTCAGCCAGCGCAGTGCGGCTCTCAGCTCTCGGGCAGGGAGTTTCGGGGAGAGGGCCATCCCTCGCCCTCCCCAGCACTAGCCCAGGCCCCTGTGCCCTGAGGTGAAGAGCTTGATTTAGCTCCCCTCAGACCAGTGGAAACCTAGCTGTGGGAGACACTTCCTCAGAAGCAGCTCAGCCACCACCTTGCCACCAAACCCGCCACTCCGCCGTGCCTTGCCAGTAACAGCACTCCCAGCGTCTAGAGTAGTTGAGTTCCTTCTCCCCAGAGATAGCTTGGAGCTGGAGATCATAACATTTAGGGGTGTTTGAATAGTGTGGGACACTTGCATGAAAGTATGGGTCTCCCTCATTCCTCGGCATGCCCCCGCCCCACTCCTTAGACCTCTCCCATCCCACTTCTGGGGCCTATGTAGAAGGAGACATGAAGTGAGCCTGGCCTCAGCCCTGCTTTCCTGGCTGCCCGCTCAGGCGGTGAGTAACGGTGGGACGAGTTGGGAAGGAACAGGAGGCTAGGAAGGGGTCACCTTTCTCACCTTTACTTCTAAAGACTGACTCTTTATATAGACTGGGAGGGAGGGTCATGCCATGCCCTCTCTCCTGTGGATGGAAGCTTCTGGCTTCTCCTGGCTTCCATAAAGCAGTAAGCCCCTAGTCACAGTGCCTGACTTCCTAGCCTCCCCAGGACCCACCAAGGGTCCTCTTGCTGCTGCCAGCCCCGTGTCTTCCTCCTCACCCCTTACCCCTCAGCTGCTTGAGGAGCTCCTCCGCCTCCCACCTCACGAGAACCTGCTGCTTCCCTTCGACTTAGTGCCACCGTGGGCAGTGGCTTCACTCCTCCCTGGTCACTGCGCAGTTTAGGGAGATGGGCCAAGGGGCAGAGCAGTGGTGGAGGGGAAAGTGGAAACCAGCCCCCTTCACTCAGCCCACGGCGCTCTGCTTGCCAGAGCAGCAGCGGACTCGGGTTCTCTGGCTCACCGGTCCTGCTGTGCCCAGGGGGTGGCGGTGCTGTGGGGGCTTGGTACCCTGGGAGCCCAGCAGCTGCCAACCTCCTCCTGCCTCCCACCCCAGGTTGTGTACTACTCTGAAATGCATAAGATCTTCGGAGACCTGACCCAACAGCTTGACCAGCCTGGCCACCCGGACGAGCATCGGGAACGGGAGAATGAGGCCAAACTGAGCGAGCTCAGAGCCCTCTCTATTGTGGCTGATGACTGAGTCCCAGCCCCCTCGGAAGACCTGGGGTCATGTCAGCCTCTCTAGTTCGCCCTTTTCAAGCTTGGACTCAGGCGTCAACCAGCAAAAGGGCCTCCCCTGGGAGAAGTATGGGGATGGCAGCAGCTCCTGCTCTACCTCACTAGCCCTCTGGAATAAGCCTGGCACCAAGAGCCCCGAACAGGCTGCTATCTCCCCACCCACAGCAAGAGCCCACAGACAGGTAAACAACGTAGGGGCTTTCTTATTTCCAAAAGAACCATCCAAAGTGCATCCTGGCCTAGGGCCAGAGCAAGCTCCTAGCCTTCATCTTTGAAGGCCATGGGCTTTGTCATCTCACTCGAGGTCTTAGCCATGCTTGCATGGTTGGGATCACATCTACCTCCAAAAGACCCATCCTGGGGAGTCCACCCAGCCTTGTTGCCTTTCCACTTCAGACTGTCTTTCCTGGGAGAGGCCCGTGACACTGCCCTGGGGAATGTGAGAGCTGTGGTCCTTCAGTCCTGACAGGCCCCTCACTCCAGCCTCTGCTTAGCCCACTTCCAGCCCTTAGGTCAAGTGCAAGGAAGCGCCCCAAGTCTTGTAGGTTCCCTAGGAAATCGGGACTCAACTCGTATAAATATCCTATCACACACAATGTCACAGACCAATTCACAGGCCTCAAAGCAAGAACACTGGGTTTATGTCTCACCTGATTATTTGGAATGTTATTTATTTTTTCAAGTAAAGTTTTAAATAAAATTTCCACATATTATTGTGCTGTAACTAAAAGGAGGGGAGAGCCACCCCAGGTTTTTTTTCAGGCTTATGCTGCCCCCTGGTGAGCTGGCAGGACCCCTACAGCAGCCATCTCCTGACCAGCAGGCAGCAGAGCCCAGAGCACAAGGAGCTCTTCCTGCTTTGCCACCCTGTCCCTCCCCGCCTTCGGGAGGTGGCTACACCTCAGATCCAGCAGAGGCAGGGCCCAAGGCCAGGAGGAAGGGAGGGAGCACGGACAGACCTAGAAGAGGAGGAAGAGAAGAGCTATGGAGGACACTTGGTTTGTTTTTGACTTTGGTTTATTTAAAAAACAAAAAGCCAAAAAAAAAAAAAAAAACAACTTTATATACAAAGTCAAACTGAAACGACGGATTATGGAAAGAGGCGAGACTTATGGGGAACAGGGAGAAAGGCTGGGCCAGAGCCAATACCACATTCTGAACACAGGGAGCCAGGGGAAAGAGGTGCTGGTTTCTTCTAGCAAGTCTGGGGTGGCTGGAACACAGTGTTCACTGGCAACCGCAGCCCGGCACCGATTGCTCACTAGCACGGCCTCCATTCCTGTGACAGCCAAGGGAGGCCCTTCCCCAAGAACCCGCTCCTGTAACCTGGCAGGATGTGTGCCATCCAGAGGAGGGGCTCTTACCCCCAGCCCGATTCCACGTCTGTTTCTTCAGTTTATTGGCATCAGACCTTATGACATACTCGAAAAGCCTTTTCCTCCCCTGTCTTATTCTAAACTGGAAGAGGACAGGAGAAAGTCAGCACAAGACTAAAGGGCCCCAGGAAAAATCCCAAGGTAGAGGGCAAAATGACATTCAAGGGGTGCAGAAGATGTTGGATTTAGTTGTAAGTGGAACCTGGGTTCCTCACTCATCTGTCCCACATAGCACAGACAGACCCCCACCCTGACAGCCCGAGCTCCTCTACAGAGGCTGAGCACAGGGGTCAGCCACCCCTGCCTATGGCTCCCGGGTCCTGCTCCAGCTTCCTTCTGGAAAACGGCTCTAACTTCAGCAGGCTCCATCGCTGACCACACAGGATGGCAGCTCCCGCACCAGGCCCCTCAGTTGCTAGGTGCTGGCTCCTCTTTCTCTACCCAGCTGTCAGCCTGTTTGAAACAGATGTAACAAGAATTAGGATTCAAGGAGGAAGGGCCAAGATCTGAGGACTACTAACCACTTCCTTCTGGGAGAGTCCAGAGTGCCAGCTGCTGACTGATGGACTCCATAAGAACCTAGTGGGTGAAAAGGCGAGGGGAACCTGAGCCAGGGCAGAAGGAGCTGACGTGCTGGCTGTCCTCCTTGCCAAGCCTCCCCACGTGACAGCCAGCTCTCTTCTAGGGGCTCACCTTTTTTTTTTTTTTAATAATTTTATTTATTTTATTTTTCCCCCAAAGCCCCAGTAGATAGTTGTATGTCATAGCTGCACATCCTTCTAGTTGCTGTATGTGGGACGCGGCCTCAGCATAGCCAGAGAAGCGGTGCGTCGGTGTGCGTCCGGGATCCGAACCCCGGGCCACCAGTAGCGGAGCGTGCGCACTTAACCACTAGGCCACGGGGCCAGCCCAGGGGGCTCACCTTCTCAACCATTCGCTGCATCTCAAGCTGCAAGGGGGTCAGGCGCCTTCGGAACTCCTGTAGCAGCCGCTGAAGCTGACTCTTCTGTCGTTCAGCTGTCCGGGCAGTCTCCTCAGCCTCAGCCAGCCGGGTTCGCAGCTCCTGCATTTCTGCCACCAGTGTCTTATTTGTTACTTCAGTGGCTGAGAAGCGATTATGGCTCTCCTCTGGTAGGGGAAATATCAACAAGACTGCTGCTAAGTTAAGGCTTAGAGCATAGGGCAAGAAGCCTAAGGAGCAGGGTCTCCCCCTTATTCTCCATATATACACGTCTGCACATGCCCTCTGTGAGAGGTCCCCGTGGCTTCAGGCCCCTCACCCAGCTTCAGTTCCAGTGTGTGAATCTTGTTCTCTAGGTAGAGCCGTCCACTGTCCTGCTGCTCTGCACGTTGCAGCAGGTTCCCCACATTGATCAGGCTGCCATTGTGGGATACCAGGCCTTTGTGTTCCATAGGGGCAGCACCTGGCTTTGTGCTTTTCCCAGGAGGCAGCAGGTCCAGGTTTCCTAGAAGGGGCCATGAAAAAGATTTAAGGGTCTCAGAAGGAGAAAGCAGCCTGCCCTGCCCATCTTCCATGGAAGGCTGCAGAGCACCAGTACGCACCAAAGAGCACCTCCTCCGGAAGCCCACCGTCCGTGCCCTCCTGGCGGCTATACTGAAGGCTCCGGTACTGGCAAATGTTCTGCATCACCACCCTGCTGACCAGCTGTTTGGCCTATGGAAAACACACACCCAAGATACCCACTGATGAGAAGATGCAAACCCTTGCTTCCGTGGCATGCAAGAACCTAGAACCACAGCATCCTAAATCACACACAGGAGTGAAGTGCGTGTTTATACGCATGTTATGTCAGGTGAGGCCACCTCAGAAAGGACTATGGGGGATGCAAGAGAAGGCACCTGCTCTGCACTGAGCCGCAGCCCAAGGGTAAGCAGGATCCTCTCCAAGTCTCGCCGGTGCAGGTAGCCACACCAGTTGGCATCAAAGAAGACAAAAGCAAGAAGACAATCCAAAGGGAGCACAGCAGAGGGGTCCAGCTCCTTGGGCTGCAAGAGAAACAAGGATGAACAGGATTTACAAATAGTTCTCTCAATGGCTAAATTACCCAGGTTGTAGCCCTTTTAAAATTGAGCAGCTTAGCTGACATCATCACACCCAGGCACCTTCCAGTTGAAGACATAGCCCTGGGCCAGAGGGGTCCCTCCCTGAGCCTGTAACCAAAGGCCTATTTGGAGCCCTTCCGCCCCAGGGTAACCTACTGTGCTTCTAGATCAGACACCTCGCTCAGGCTCACCCTGACGGAGATAATCAAGTGTTCTCCTGGATCTTATGAAAGTGCCATTCCATGAGCCAAGAACCATCTTTTGTCTTTTGTCAATCAAAAGATGCCAGAAATCACTTGGTAAAAGCATGCCCCCCCCTCCAGGAGTGAGTCAGAGGGCTTGCTAAGCTTCACTGTCACTGAGGCCCAGAGGGGCAGGAAAGAGGTCTCACCATGTCCTGAAGGGAAGAGAACTCCATCTCTGACTGGTTCGAGGCAACCGACCGGACCTCGGCATCCTCTAGCTTGGCTCCTGCTACAGAAAGCCTGAGATAAGCTTGGAGCCAGGACCACAAGGGCCCAAACTGGCTCCACAGTCCTAACAGGGGAGCGCTAGAGCCACAGAGCCAGGAACTGCCACCCGGTGCCTGCACGCTTCCCTCGCACTGCACGTACCAAACTCCTCCTCTCCATCATCCCTCAGCAGCAGCAGTTCTGGGTCGAGGGCCATCTCACAGAGGTCCTCAGATGCCTCACCCCGGGGCTTCTCCTCTTCCTCTCCCCCAGAAGATGGGGGTTTGGGCAAAAGCCCATCTTCCTTCTAGGGGACGCAGACAAGATGATGAGGAGAGTTGTCCCCTGTAATTACTAACAATAATAATGGCTAACATGAGAGCATCAACCATGCTCAGGCACTGTGTGAAGGGCCTCGTACACAGTGTCACATTTAAGGTATTTCATTACACGGGGTTCAGAGCAGACCAGGGAAATTTCCAAACATCTGGGATTTTCCTCAGGAGTCAATCTCAATCCCATAAGAAATTATGTTTACTTGACAATACTTAGGCATTAGAAAGGGTTAAGGAAAGGCAGTGTTCTAGTTAACCATCCGGTAAAACACCTCTACTGCTCAAAGCATTCTTATTAACTGAGGTTTCTGTGCTGCCACGGCGTGCCAACCACGCTTCCCTTCCCTCTTCCAGGCCCACTGCTCTTCTCCTAGGTGCCCCACTTACTAGCCGGATGGGCACGTGCCTGAACACACCCCGGGGTCACAGGCGCATGCAGCACGAGAGGAGAGGGGGAAGACCCTGAAGCGCCCAGGGCGGCGCTGGGTACTACACGGCACTCGAGTCCTGGTCAGCCTTACTACGTGTAGCCCCAAGTGCCCGTGCGGGGGTCGGAGGTACTCACCGGCGGGGCGTCTGCCTCGGCAGCTGTGCCCTCACTCTGTACCTCATCCTTGGACTCCTTGGCCACCTCCTCCTTAACCACTTCTTCCTCCTTGGCTGCCTCCTCCTTCTCAGCTTCAGGTGGGGCCACAACCTTTTCAGGAAGGCTCAGCAGCATCTTATAAATCCTATAGCCAAAATCCCTCTGCAACATCTCCAGAAACAGCTCCGCCAACACCATCACCTGGTGGAAGAGGCAGCAGGGGTCCATGAACATCAGGAAAAAGGGAATGTTCCGAGCCCTGCCACCCCACACACCCCACCCCACAGCCTCCCCAGTCCTCTACCTACCTCAAAAGAGATCCTTTCTTTTGGCCTCCGGTCCTCCACAATACCATGGAGGGACAGGTGTACACAGCCAGGGTGCGCCATGACAGCAGGTTCCAGAGGGGGTGGAGGGGCCTCTGGGAGATCAGTGTCCATTTCCTGCTGAGCGGTGACCTCTGGATTCTCTGCATTCTGTTTAGAAGTGTCTGTTGCTTGCTCTGATGCATCTGCTGGCTGTTCTGTATGCTCTGTTTCCTGTGACAAAAGCAAAGAGCTGTCACCACCTGGGTCCAGGCGTCAGGGCACCTACTTTCCCCACTTGTTCGTAAGGCTCAGCCTTACCACTGGCACCTCCTGCGGTGGGGGCCCTGCCTCTGCAGCTTTCTGCTGACACAGGGCCTCCCACTCTTCCAAAGTAGGCATGATGGTCCAGACATCCGGCAGGTACACCACCACAGTCTGGAGCCGCCTCGGGGGTCCCGGCTGCAGGTACTGAAACTCGGCAAAGCGCCACCTGCTCACAGCAAAAGGAAAAATGAAGTACTGACCCATGAATTCGCAAGCAAGTGCTTCAGTTTCCAACCAACATTTAATGTGCACATACTG